ATCAGTCCACACCTGGAAGGGGATTTTGTTGCCTTCCAGGAACTGTCGCCATGTGAGTAATGCCCAACGTATCCCATAAGCCTCCTTCTCCCATACGGGCCAGCGCTGTTCTGTTTCCGTGAGTTTCTTGGATGTATATGCACAGGGTTGCAATACTGCATCATCATTTTCTTGTAATAGCACAGCCCCCACTGCCACATCACTTGCATCTGCCTGTATTATGAAGGGCTTGTCCATGTCTGGGTGCCTTAGTACTGGTTCGGCAGAAAAAAGTCTCTTTAGTCTCTCAAACGCTGCTTGGCACTCCATTGTCCATGTTAGTGGCTGGCTAGGTTTTACTGAGGATGTTCCCTTCGTTTTTAGTAAGTTAGTGAGGGGCAAGGCTATCTGTGCAAATGAGGGGATGAATTGGCGGTAAAAATTTGCAAAGCCCAGGAAACTTTGTAGTTGCTTTCTTGTGCGGGGTGGTGCCCATTCTAATACTGCTCTGACCTTCTCTGGGTCCATTTCAATGCCCTGTGGGGATATGCGATAGCCTAGGTAGTCTATCCTTTCCTGGTGGAATTCGCATTTTGAGAGTTTGGCATATAGGTGAGCGGCTCGCAGCTTCTTTAAAACCGCTCTGACAAGTTTGACGTGTTCTTCTTTTGTTTCGGTAAAGATAAGAATGTCGTCCAAGTAAACAAGGACCCCCTTAAACAGGTGCTCCCTTAGAACGTCATTGATTAATTGCATAAAGACTGCAGGGCCCCCTTGTAATCCAAATGGCAAGACTTTGAATTGATAGCACCCCATGGGGCAGTTAAATGCAGTCTTCCATTCGTCCCCTTCCTTGATTCTCACTCGATAGTAAGCTTCCCTTAAGTCTAGTTTAGAAAAAATTTTCCCTTTCGATAGGTGTGACAGCATGTCTTTCATGAGGGGCAGCGGGTATAGGTTGCTTTCACTGATTGTATTCAGGGCCCTATAATCCACGCATAAACGTAAAGAGCCATCCTTCTTCTCTCTAAAAAGGACCGGGGCAGCCACTTTAGGCTTGGCTGGCTCAATGAAACCTCTCTCCAGGTTTTTTTTTATAAATCTTTCCATTTCCTCCTTCTCCTTTGGGCTCATGGAGTATAATCTGGGCTTCGGGAGTTTTGCCCCAGGCTTGAATTCAATGGTACAGTCTGTGGGTCGGTGGGGGGGAAGCTCATTCGCCCTCTCCTCACTGAAGACTTCAGCAAGGTCCCTATATTCCTCTGGTATTTCTGTTAATCTTTTTTCCTCTCCTATGGATGCTTTTTCTATTCTTGATTCTGGTAGCCTCCCTTGGGGTTTTAAGTCCATAGGGTCCCCCTTCGGGAATTTGATTTCTGTCGTCCTCCAATTTACCCAGGGGTTCCATTTTTTCAACCATTCCATCCCTAGAATCATTGGGCATTCCATACCTGGGGTCACCACAAACGTTAAGTCCTCTTCATGGTTGCCCAGGGAGAGATGTATTGGCAAAGTGGCTAGGGTAGCTGGCACCCCCCCTGCTATGGATCCATCTAGCTGGCCAAATGAGATTGGTTGTTCCAGTCTCCTGGATGGGATGCCCAGATTCCCCACTAGTGTTGGGCTAATGAGGCAGCGGGTACAGCCAGAGTCTATTAAGGCTTTCACCTTCACAGCTTCGGGCATGGGGGGGATTAATATAGTCACTGTTTTGAAGATGGGTGTGATGCATCCACTTACCAGGGGTTCGCCCTCCGAGCTGTCATCTGAGGCATCCACCGGCCCTGTGGTGTAGGCTGGAGTCCTTTCCCCTTGGTGAGCAGAGGTGGGGGTTTCTGCAATTTCCATCATTCTCATGGCCGTTTGTTTTGGCTTAGCTGAATACTTTCCGGGTTTGTTGATTGGGGATCTGTCTGGGTTGTGCTGGGGGGCCTTTGAGCGGCATTCTACAGCTCGATGCCCTTCTCTTCCGCACTTGAAACATCCCATTTGCTTCTTGGCTGTATCCAATGATTTCACCGGTTGGTGTGTCAGCTCAGGCGGGGGGCGGCTCCATTGTTTTCCTCGGCGGTGCCTCTTCAATATGTCGATCTCTGCTTCCTCTGCCAAGACGTACCATTCCTCAAGTCGATGTGGGTCCCCTCGGGGCAGGCAAGCATCATATAGATCATAGTTTAGTCCGTCTTTGAAATGGCCAAGGAGGATGTCTTCTGGCCAATTCAGTTTGCTGGCAATGGCCCGGAATTCTTGTGTATACTCAGCCACTGGGCGTTTGCCTGCCTCATCGTTGTTATTCTTTCACGGGCTTTGCGATCAGCCAGGGGGTCTTCAAATCGTCTTCTCAAAGAGGACATGAAACGGTTGAAGTTACTGAGTTCTGGGGCATTGGAGTCATGCAAGTTCACTACCCAATCCGCAGCTGGTCCATCCAGGGCAGATTGCACGATCCGGATGCGGGCTTTGTCGCTGGGAATATCCTGCCCATATTCCTCCATGTAGCTGAGGACTTGGGTTAGGAAAAACCCCAAGCGTGTTGGCTCCCCTTTGAATTTCACTTCCAACGGTGGACGTCTTGGAATGGATCGGTGCCTCTGTTGTGGGTGGTAGTGCCTTCCGTCCAGATTGCCATCTGTGGTCCGGTAGGGGGTGGGAGCTCCTGGATCAGTAGATGTCCCTGGGGTTGCAGGTTCCATGTCCCCCTCGGTGTCTCTCCCTTTGCGGCTCCAGGAACTGGGGCGGCCGTAGGGTTCAGTATTCTCCTCTCTTAGGGAGCTGAGAGTTCTCTTCATCAGGTCAATAGCTTTCTCTAGGATCCAGTCTGAGTACGGTGCCCAGCTTCCTCCCTTTTCACTTGCGTGCAGGGATTTCTCCATCTCCTGCTTCCATTCTGGTTGCTTGGTCCCCCTTCTCAGGGTCACCTTTCTTGATTCCTTTCCCCACTCACTTTTCTTTCCAACGCCCATCGACCAGCGAGGCTTGTGGTCCTGTGTCTCCACCACTTCTTCTCCTGAGGAATCTGGCCTCTCGGATCCCAACATCTGGCAAGGTTCCAACTGGGTCAGCGGCTCTCTTTCCAGGGAGTTTTCCCCCTCTCTTGCTCCATTGTCTGACATGGTAAATTTTTGCAAAATCCCCCGGCAAGGGTCTTCCTTCCAGGTGGATTAATTTTGCAAGTCCTGTCTAATGTAAGGACCCACCCCACTTTGCATCTTAAGAAGACAGAACTCTTGGAATAATTCTTCCAACAGGAATCCTTTATTAAGAGAAAATGGTTGCAGGCATGCTAGACAGGACTTGGGGTCCAAGCTCTCCCATTCAAGGTTTTAAGGGGTTCCCCAGTAGTCCCACCCAATCAACCCCCCTTCCAGTGATAGTTTCAAGTATCACAATTCCACCTCCTTTCTTCTTTCTTCCGTCTGGATGGAGACTTCAGATACTACATGAAAGGCAATTACCCTTCTTTGATATGTTAACGCTTAGAGGTTACAATAAACACACATTCAGCTCTTTGAAGTGTAAAGAAGGAAGTGAGGGCCATAAAGCCCCTTTGCTCTCCCCCTTCTCTCCCTCTTATGGCAGAATCCAGAGAAGGCAGAATTGGGAGTTTCTATATTTGATAATTTAAAGATGAAATATAATTGGATTCTGACACAGACCTTGAAATTATAATTCTTTTACTTCCATCGCTAAAGCGATATCCTTTTGACCCTGGCTCATAGCTCACAAACCTGAGCTTTCTTGCCTTTTGTTGTCCCTTTCTTCTGATTGCTTTTGGAATATGTACCCATGCAGTACTTCCAAAAATTCTCAAATGTGCCAGTGATGGCTTTCTCCCATATAGAATGGCATATGGAGTGTTATTAATGGTGGAACTCCACAGCCTGTTAACTATATAATTAGCAGTCAATATGGCTTCTCCCCAATATGACCTACTCAAACCAGAATGGTATGATTCACACAAACAAATCAACAGAGTTTCTAACTTTACCACACAAATAGCCATTGCTTATTTTTAATTTTATCCATCCTTTTTTTGGTCAGCTTATATGTAAATATACACTTTTAGTTTATTAAAAATATGATGTGAAATAATCTGTAAATAATACTGATATTGCAATTATGTAACAATTTAGTTTAAAGATTACATTTGCTTCAGTGATTTTGTATATTTGACTCCATGAATATACAGGGTAAGAGAAGAAGGCTTAACTGTGTATGAAACTTTTTATTCTACAAAATAGTGCACAGTTCTATTTTTAAAAATCCATTTTGAATGTTTCAATATCTTCATTATTAATGTTATCAGAACTTTATGTGGATCCTACTGTATGTAAAGCAAGTCTGGACATATAACATCATTATTTATTTTTTCATAAGCAAAGTTATCCAATATTTGATAAGCCAGTGTTAACAATGTAATCACCCCATCCTCCCTGTTAATAAATCCAGTTAAAGGGTCAGTAGTTCTACATTAAGCAGTGATGACTGATTTAGGTCAGACATGCCCTGACCACATCTCACAAATTTTGTTTCCTTTCATTGTAAAATTATTCATAAAGTTCAAAGTTCCAGAAAAACATCCAGGAAACTGGAAGTCTTTTATCATTGTGGCTAAAATATGATTCCATAAAAAGCATTGGATAAAATGGTACGCATTGAAGAATAGCAAGACAAAAGACATGGCTCATTAACTTTGATTCTTATCTCAAGTTTGCCAAAAAGTACCTGGGTGCCCATCCAGATTTCTAGAGTATACAATATGCAATCAAAAGTAGAACTTTTTGGCTACATGAGTATTGTTCTTTATTGGAAACCAAATATTCTACAATAAGGAATTCAAGCCGACTTCAAGTAAGGACATAACATCAGCTTTGGGGGCTTCTGGGGCTGACTTTCATCTTTGAAGGAAATGTGAATTCTCCTTTGCTACAAGCTCTGCAGAAGACTGCTAGATTGTCAATTGAAATGAAAGGGAATCATGCAGCAGGATAATGATTCTAAACATAAATTTAAAATTTCAGGAGAATGAATGAAGATCAAGTTCAGTGTTTTGCAATGGCCAAGTCAGAAGGCAGACCACAATCCAACAAAAATAATATGGCAGGAGCAGAAACAAGTAATTTTTGCAAGTAAATGTAAGTAATGTAAATAAATGTTACTCTGGTGAAGCAGTTCAGCAAGGAGAAATGGGTCAAAATTCCTACAAAAAGTGTGAGAGTCTAATTGCCAGTTAGGGAAACTATGGTAACACTATTGCAGCTAAAAAGGTGCAACATTTTGAATCAAAGGATAACATTGTGTGTGGGGGGAGGAGGTCCTAAGCATCTGATTTATTCAACAAAAGAATAGCTAAAAGCAGAAAAGATGTGTTTTGGAATCACCCAATCCTGGCCCTAACTGAAATGTTCTGGCATAACCTGATTAAAGATTAGTCAGCCTTTTGGGATAGAGTAGATCAGGAAGACTCCACCAGAAAATTATCCATTATTAGGATACATTATCATAAGAGATACAAACGTGAATGTAATTGACCTCACTTCTCTTTTATATCCCTGTGAATCAGGGAGGGGCCTACCTGAGGCTTTTCCTTATGTTATCATGTTTCCCAGGAGTTAAGGAATATTTGCTTACATAATTGTTCTTGCCTATTTACTCCCAAACTATCTTCCTAACTCTCTATAGAAGTTCATTAAAATAGCCCAAAATATTAATGATTTGAAGCAGTTTTGTAAAGGGCAAAGATATCTCCAGCTGATGTCCAGAACTGATCAAGTATGAAAATACTTGGTTGGTCATTAATTATGTTTTTAGGCCATCAAACATCAAAACAACTCTGGACAGTTTTACAAGTGAAAGGAAGTAAAGTAAAAAAAAATCATCCAAAGAATAACATAACATCCAATCACATCTCTTCCAACTGAAATTGGCCTGCTAAGCCTCCCAACCATATGCCTGGGGATAAATCAAGTTTTTAAAAATGTCTCAATGTTGGGAAAGAAATGGGGATAGTACAATATCTGAAGAGATATTGCTGTAACGGCTAAGTACTGAAACAGAAAAGGCCTGTTTCCTGTGCCTCAGTGGCATAGTTTAATCAATGATATCCAAAGCTAGACATGTTGAATTGCAAAGGATAGGCTGAGACTACAAAAAATAGGTATTTCTTCAAATAATTAGTTTCTATGCCATATGGAGCTTTATAGTTAACAACTAACATCACGATCTGCATGCAGAAACCAACTGGTAACCAATGAAGCTCATGTAACAGGATATTACATAGCGTTAGCAAGGCTTTCCCATCACTGCTAGAAAATCTCCAGAACCAAAAGGACTAAGCATCCAGAGCATCCAGTCTTGCTAAAGGTTAAGACTGTGTCTCAAGTCTTTGGCTAACTATCCCTCTCTCCACCAGTACAGACTGGAACCAATAACAAAGAACCACTGCAGTGTTGTGCTCCAGAATCTGATCCAAATAAGAGGACCAAAAATATATTATAGTTAATGATATCAAAAGCCACTGAGAGGTCTAGAAGCATCATCTTTATCCCAACACCATTATAGGTTATTAATAAGCATGACCAGCCATGATTAACAAGCATGACCAACCATCTCAATACTATATCCAAACCTGGAACCTGACCAGAAAAGATCCAGATCCAGTAATCTTTTTTTTCCAGATTATCGGGAATGCTGAGAAGATTCTAGTATCTTTTGTAAGCGCAACACAATTATTGTACCTTGCCAATAATCTTCTCTGAGAAGAGAAGACTGGAGAGTGGATGAACATTGTCCAGTCTGGTTAGTCTATTGAGGGCCATGGCAGTGTACCACTACCCCCACCAACCATCCCCTCTCTTAAGAAAGCTGATATCACCTCCCAAGCAACTTTCAGAAGCCATAAGAGGCAGGGCTCCAACAAGTAGATCCCTAGGATCATGCCTACTTCTTCAAGAATTACAGAATCAAATCTTCCTAGGTAACCAAGTAAGACCGTACCTCCAGCGACCTTGATGTGCCCAACTGGAGCCCAATTCTGAACAAATTCAATCTATTTTGTCTGCTAGTTGCCTGGCATATTTGAAGTTGAAATAATTGTTGCTGACAAAGGTGCCACCAGTTAGTAAATCTAAAGCTTCACATACTTTCTTCCCAACACAGACAGATGGACAGAATGTTGGCTCAGTGTATTCCATAAAATATATTGTTTTATGTTTCTATGCATTTGTGTTTTAAGCCCAAATCACTTTATTAATAGAATATAGAAGGGTAGATCACACTACAGATCATTGTATACTGCAGGATTATAGAAAATTTTAAAGGGTTCACAAACTTTCTCTCATCATTATACCACCTTTATCCATGGGCATAAGTACAGTTTAGTAGCATAATCTACTTGCTGATCACTCAAATGCCAATATATTATACCCATTCATCATAGATGATGCTCAGCTGAACTTGAACCACTGTATGACTTAATGAGTGACTATGGGAATAAATGCATAAAGTATGTTGAAAAGATTAAATCTCTAATATCAGATATATCTAACAGTAAGGGGTGCAGTGGTGCAGAGGCTTAAAGACACTGGATGTGCTGAGCATTTGCTAGTACTCTGGTGGTTCGAATCCAACTTTGTAGGATAGGGTGAGCTCCCACATTCCCGGACTAGTGACTGTCAGCTGCCAGGACTTCTACTAAAGTACATAACATTGTAGCCTCCCTGGCCTTGTATGCCATATGCTAAACAAACAAACAAACAAACAAACAAATAATCTAACAGTATAATTATACCAAGAGAGTTTAAGAGAGATATCAGATAATCTGAAAATATAAATGTATCTGTAGTAATCAGTCCTTAGTCATTGAAGGGTGCAAAGAAATGGCCGCTCCTTACGCAGCATTTATTGTTTATATAGAGTTTTACAAATAGCAAAAGTTACTGCATGGCAATAGCATTTCATTGGCTAAAATCCTTTACCAATCCTCAAGAGTAAAAAGCTAGAGGCCATAAACAGGGAAACTTGTTGTTCACCAGCCAGCCTTATCAAACTGGCCAAGGTCACACAGACCTGCGTACTTTCACATCACTATGGTGATGTGAGGGGGGGAGATAGATACAGAGAAAAGACACAAGCGTTGGGGGGCAGTATTCTGCGCACGACCTTTGCCTGTCTCTCACCTCTACATCTCACTCCTTTTTGTTTTGTTAGACGAAATATCGCCGTAAGTGGGGTTAATAAAAGGATTATAATCAGGAGAGGAGCATCCTTGGAGTTGTTAATATAGGGCCAAAACTTGACCCTGAGGCAATGGGAGAGAGGATCTGCTGGGATTTAAAGCTCTAATACATATATTGCAAAATGAAAGAAATACATTACATAAACAGCACCCATAAAGATCCTAAGGTACCAATTTTCAAATCAGAGGCCAAATTGTGTAAAATATAAATCTGGTGCTGGATGGTTCGTGAATTATCAGAAATATTGAAACAACGCATGCCCTCAAAACTTTCACAACCCAAATGTTGGCGTAGAAGCAAATAATCAATTGTAAAATAGCCTTTCTCAAATCTTGCAGCTCATGGTTGATCGCTGAAATAGTGGAAGAAGTAGTATTAATTGTTTTTGCCAAATTTCATGTAATAGCATTAATGTTGAGGTGAGCACGAACAGCAAGTCCTGGCACGCTCACTAGAGATATAGCCAATGCTACAAAGTAAGGTTTTCTCAGAGTCACAAGTATTGTCTAGTGTAACACCACATGGAGAATGGTTCATGTGAACTTGTTGTTTGGAAAGCAAAACAGGAATCAGCTGGCTGAGGTAACATTGCACTTCACTAATATTAGCAGGAATATAATTTAAAGTTTCTTGACCACACGTAAAAAACCTTCCTTGCAGTAGCCAAGCATGTCCAAAATGAAAGGAAGTCTCTATTGAAGCTGTGCAATTTAAAGCAGGTGAGCCAATGCGATGACAGTGAGGTTTTTTAAGCAATAACCTCCCAGAGTCAGTGAAGTTTTGAATTACTGCAGAAGGGGTGCAAACAAAGACTAAACATGTAGAAAGCAAATTTTCCATGTCATACATTTCAGATAAACAAAAGAAGTCATTTTGTGTGATGTTAGATTTTGCTTCATTCGTTGTTCGAATGATTGTTTGAGTGGGATGACAGTTACAGTTGTCAAAGGGCAGATGTTAATGATCAAACATAAACAAATGATGGATAAGAAATTTGCAGTTAAAACTGCAAAAATGGCAGCGCACAGGTTCTTGGGGATCAAGTTCTTTACATCTCCCCACGTCACTGGCTGCCTGGCATGTCAGGATTGAATTACTTGCTGTGCCATCTGTAGAGTCACCCTTGCCATTTCTGAGACTGGGTCCAGGGACTGGTGCCACGATATCCCTGGCTGGGTGATCACAACGCGCTGGAATCTGCAAAGGTCCTGTTGGAGTAAGCACAGCAGCGTAGCCCTGCCCCCAAGTGATCAGAGGGACTGGTCCCAACCATGATTTGTCTGGTAATGCCCGATAATATACCAGAGGTAGAGGCAAGCTTGTTTTCTGTTAAAAGTGTCTCTGATAAGCGGTCAAATTTTGAATGGAAATATTCAATTGGTGTAATGTAAATAATACTTTTTGAACCTGTTGTATTACCCACGACAAATTGGGTACCCTAGATAATCCATCCTTTTTTATTTGTTTGTGAAGGCAGTCCTTGAAAGACCAATTAGCACGTTCCACGATAGCTTGACCCATGGAATTATAGAGAAGACCATGAGTAAAAACAATATTTCAGGTTGTACAAAATTGTAAAAAGGCCACTGAAAAATAGGCTGGCCCATTGTCAGTTTTTAGGGAAGAGGGTTTACTCAGGGCTGTAATGGCCCAAAAAAGATGAAAAATAACATGTGAAGCTGTTTCCCCTTGTAGAGGTGGGGGAAATTGTTCCTAAATACCTATTTATGAATATACATTTCTAGGAAGCCAAAAAGAGAGAACATGGATAACGTCCATTTGTCATAGTTGATTAGAGGCAAAACCACATAAAAGACATAAAAAAAATTAGGCCCAGGAAGGGAGGAATGATTGTGTATATGAGAAACAAAATTATAAATGTTTTCAGTTCTGGAGCAGCTGCTGCAAAGTTAAAAACAAAGTCATAAGATTGGGGCCAATCCTGGGCGTGATGTAAGCACCTGAAGAAGTAAAAGTAAGTTGGCACACATAATGAGAGTCAGAGATTAAGTTAAAAGACTGTTGAGAAAAGGTTTTAAAAGCTAAAATAATTCTGAGCATTGTGATAAGGGTTGCATTGTAGTGTAGGACACTTTCCAGGTATCATCCTTGTAAGCAATTGCTCCTCTCATTCACCCTCCATCAGAAAAAGCAATAACTTGTGGCAAGGGAGAAAGAGGAAGAAAGCAGTGGCTGGACTGGAAAGGAAAAAGTCATTAAACAAGCAAGTCAAAGATCATTAGGCAAATGATATGAAATACAGCCTATATAGTCAGTTAAAGCACATTAAAGAGATAAGTTATTTTTGAAAACAATATTAATTAATCAGTTCCTTTTCGACGGCAAGCTCTTGTGTGTCCTAAGGTTATCATTTTAGCAACCACCTGGATAAAAAATAAAACATTTTGGGATGGAATGTGCGATAAGTAAATATTATTCAATTCAATATACTTTCTGCACTTCAATTACAGTTCATATTCCGTTAAGTAATTTACTAGTAAGAAAAAATCAAAAGTGTGGAATTCTGTCCACAAATTGAGTATTCATGATGTCAGCAATTTGTGCAACTATATTTTTTCTGGGACTTATTGCAATCCTAAATCATTTTATATTTTCTGAAAGCCAATTAAATTGTATCTTTGGTGCTTCAATTTAAGCAAGGTCCATTCAGATGGAAACAAATTTTATATAAATAGGTTAAACATTTATAAATCTATAACAAAGTAATTCAGTTAGTTCTTTTGGTTGTTGGATATTAAAAAATATTGTCCAACATTATTGTTTCTCCTTTGAGTAAAAAATTTATTTGCCGAAACTGCATAGGTGAATGTCAAGTTTCAGATTCACTCCACTCTTCTCAGATTACAATTCCAAGCAGAGGAAAAAAATAATTTAAACGAATAGTTCCCCCCCTCCTTCCTGTCTCTGGCTCTTTAAGCAACGCAGCCAGCCAAAAGAGACTGGGGGGGGGGGGATATCACCACCAAAAAATAGTTTCATCTCCTTCATATGCATTTTTCAATAAATTCTCTCATACATTCTCCATGAAATTCTTCTCATACAAATATTTACTATTATTTTCACAGTTTGGGAGAAAATGGGTGGGTTTTGAAGGCTAACACACACTTCAACAAATTAACTCATTCAGTTCCATACTGACTGTTTGCATAAAACCCTTCCACATACAATTATTTCATTTCATACTTTCTCCAGGCAAACCATATATTCTTAGCAAGGCCTTTTTGTATTGTTGTTATCAGAGAGGGCTTTGAGCCTCTTCCAAGTCTTGGAATAACACAAAACAACACAGACAAACGTATATACACAAATACTGTTACACCAACATTTATTTAGACATATAATTTGTTTTGCAAGAAGTGAGAAAAATGACAAGGTGATTTCAACCAAAAAGTGATCTCCCATTTTTCTCATCATTCCAAGCCCAAGCATAATGTTCTGAGTGGCCACACATACACACATAACACAAAACACAACCAGACAGGGTTAACTTAACAGATTGCAGAGTTTCAAAGCATTCCGATTGCTCAAAACACTTCACTCTGAGGGAGTACATTTTGATTCATGTCTCTAACAGCAAACGAATTAGCCTCTTCAGAAGAAGCTGAAAATCCAATTAAAGATGTTTTTAGGAGGAATAAATTTTACTTAGTTGCAAGCAGAAGGGGGCTGATAGTTAATTGCCCTTCTGAAGTATTTGGGTCCATTTTTTTCTTCCTTACCTGACAGGACTGAACACTATAGATGTTTATACTGAAGCCCAAGGTTCAAGATGTAATTTATGCTCTATCTTTTAGCCTAAGCGTCCGATGCTCAGGATTCAAAGAACACTGTTTTCCTATCTCCACAATCAGCTTCCTTATGTCTGTTTCAAGCGTTGCCACGCCTGACTTCTGTAGCAGGAGTCTGAGCTCCTGTACGTGCTTTTGCTGAGGGTGAGATAATTTACAGCCCATACTTACTCACTGAGGGGTCTCGTAAGACGAAAGTGCACTTAGGGTTCTGTTCCAGATGATGGTAAGTATGTTGGCAGCTGCTTCTTCCCATAGGGGTCCCAAAATGAAATGTCCCTGCTGAGGGTGCCAGCTGTAGTAATCAGTCCTTAGTCATTGAAGGGTGCAAAGAAATGGCCGCTCCCTACACAGCATTTATTGTTTATATAGAGTTTTACAAATAGCAAAAGTTACTGCATGGCAATAGCATTTCATTGGCTAAAATCCTTTACCAATCCTCAAGAGTAAAAAGCTAGAGGCCATAAACAGGGAAACTTGTTGTTCACCAGCCAGCCTTATCAAACTGGCCAAGGTCACACAGACCTGCACACTTTCACATCACTATGGTAATGTGAGGGGGGGAGATAGATACAGAGAAAAGACACAAGCGTTGGGGGGGGGCAGTATTCTGCGCACGACCTTTGCCTGTCTCTCACCTCTACATGTATCAAGATGATTACATGCTATTTTCTGCCCTGGCCCTAATTTTAGAATAAAGTGAAAGTGAATTGCTCCATTCTTAATCATCTTCTGCCTGTCTTTCCTGCAACCTGGCATGATGGGATAATGAATTCTGCATCCAGTAGAGTTTGCTAACATTCAAAGGCTTCAGCCCCTCCCCTACCACTTTTCTTTTCCTTTATCCCTTTTATTTTCTGTTGCTTCTGCTCTTTCCAATACTTATCCATCAAACTGTATTGACTGTTGTCAACATT